CAGATAATAACAGGGACAGAGTGAGGCGATGACCCAGTTTCTTTCTCTTGCAGTGCCTACAAAGTGTGCCTTTGTCTAACAGATTAATTGTGAATGTTCTCATGTGTATCACATCAGAGACCAGTTGTGTTCGCTGAGTTATCAGCTCAGATATCACATTCGACATACAACGTGCTAAAACTAGCAAAGAGTGGCAATTTAAAGACATTAAGTAAAGTGAAACAAAACGGCCCGTGTTCCTTTGATTTAGGATAAACACAGCAAAAAAAAAAATGTCTGAGCCAGATGACAAGACTTTGTGTTGAGAATATTTCAGCCTAACTAGGCCTCAAGAAAGTGCTATCCTGTAGAGCGACTTGTACCAGCATCACCAGCACTATCGCTGTATGCTCATTTGCTTAATGATTAAGGTAATAATATGTCAGAGGTGTGCGTTTTGTGTTTTTTTAGCTTGCTGTGGAGTGGTCAAACAATAAACACATTTATATATGTAGGCTTGTATCTATGATATAAAGATTATATATTGCAATGTCAATGCTCAGCCTGTACACTGCTACAAGGAGACTGTACAGATTAAGCCTAATTTGAAACCCCAAATTGGTTGCCCTGGCTAATTTCTCAGCAAAAGCAGAACGTCCTCTTCTTTCAAGAGAAGAAGCATTTGCAGCAGTTCTTCTTTTTCTTCTTCTTGTCTAAAAAAACAATAGACAATAGATACCTCAACCATCCCCAGATCAAACAGCAATGTGGAATGTCTCAAACAAGATACGTTTTTCTTACCTGAGTTGGGGGAGGGAGCGATCTGCTTTTGTGTGGGTGGATCTTGGTGGCGACCAGAGCGGTGACAGGAACTGCAGCAGAGTGGGGACTAAACATATGAATACCCACAGAGTTAGTATTCGCCCTGTTTTTGTCGTAACTGCTCTGGGCCTGGCTGCTGCAGACTCCACAGGTCCATCACTATCAAAACATAAAGTCACACTGCTATGTTAATGGACAGCAAACAGGATTCCCACCTGGTTGTGATGACTATTTTCGATGTGCAAAGCAGGAACGTAAGTGCTCACAGCTCACCACGCAGACAAACAGATGCACACACACTGCTGCTGTTGTGGGAGCTGTTGGTAATAAATAGGTGGTTGAGAATATCTTGAGGGGTCATCTTTCCCATCCCACTTGAGTATCTCCTTCAACAAGCTCAATGCACTCCCCCCTCTCATCGCCTTCTGTCTCATTATTATCGTCCAGGCGCATCCAGTTTAAGAAAAATTGGAAAATGCAACAGTGGTCAGGTCTTTCTGACAATGAATGAAAGTCACTTTTCAGCAGCTATCGCCTATTTAACCGCCTACAGTCTTTCCTTCATCCAGAGAACGGAAGGTGTAGAACCTGTAGACTAATGAGTAATTAGTTGATTCCCAGTACGCATCAGGCGTCTAAGAGAAGGTTGAATATATTTAAGACAAATGTCAATACATTTAGCATGTACTAACTGCAGTAAAACTGTTTGTTTTAATAATAAAAGGAAGGTTAAAGATTAATTGACTATTGTAAAAGTAGAATAAGTAATAACACCTTCATCATCCACTGACTGGATTCTGTTTTCTTGAAAAACACCTTGGATTTCCAACCAGCATTGAGGAGATGCCTCAGGTGGCGGACCATGGAGGTCGATAATGAATTGTAGCTGGAGACAAAACCCATTATAAGAATATCCAATAAAAAGGCCATCTGTCTCTTGTTGCCATGAAGCATTTCTATGGTAAAATCATAACACAACTTTCATTGCAAATGACACTGGAGTTTCACAGAATAGATAATCAGACTTAAAATCATGAATATATGCTTTATATACTGTTTTCAAAAACAGCACTGATATATCAAACCTTAGCTGTGCTGTAGTTTTTGTCCTCTAATTAGAAATGACCAATTTCCAATCATATTTAGGCCTCGATTCTAAATGTGTGTGCTAAAAACTCGTAATTCACTCAGATGAAGATTGTAAAATCCAAACATTTATTATAAAATGCTAGGATATTTATTACATATTGCGTTAAAGCTGTTTATTACAAAATGCAGCAGACTATTACATAATACGGTGTTATTACACAATATGTTGTTAAATGCCTCTTTAAATATCTTATTGCTACTTTTCTAAATTAAGCCAAAATGCTGTGTAGCCGGCTAGCTACAGGTGGTTTAGCTAATTGTGTAGCACAACGAGAGGCTTCAGGCGTGTTTTATGTCCTGAACAGAGTCCAACTGCATGAGTCAAGCTCAGAACCCAGTGTGTGATAGCTTATGACTTGTGAGTTGATTGAGGAAATTGACCTACTGTGGATGACCTGAGCATGAGATTCATGGGGTGTAACTCATTGAGAGAAAGGTTTGGTCAACCTTGACTGAAAACTTTGAGGGAGCCTTTATGAAATTGGTCAGAATGAGGAGGATGAAGATATTTCAGATGAGTCAGGACGGTTGCAGGATTTTTGGGTGATGCCTGACGATGAGAGTGAGGACCACCTTCGCTGTGCGTCAGGCACTCTAAATCTTGTTTCCACCAAAGTAATAAGGAACCACCCACAAACTGAAGCACAGCGCTGTGTTCTGCTGTCTGGAACACAGCGTACAGGTTTCCTGTAGCAGCAGAAGGTTTTGTTAAAGTGTTATTTATAATGTCCACCATGCCACATTGAGACTTGGGAGTTCAGGGCAGTAGTGACATGTGGATGACTTGGTGCTCAACTCACTCCCTCTCAACCCATCTCCAGACTACTGAAAGTAGTCTAAATTATTTGTATTTCTTTAATTTAGCACAACATTAAAATTTACACTCAGGAAATAAAATATGGTTCCGAACAAAGTATCCCTAAATGTTAAACGTCAAAGTCATGTTCAGTCTAAGTTGGACATGTATTGGCTTTGCCCTTCCTTTTGCTTTGCCCACCCTGTTCTCTCTCTCTCCCCTATTACTTACACAATTTTGATCTAGACTCTCCAGCAGGCAAAGTATACAGGCTGCACACTCGCATGCAGACAAAAAGCTTTTCACACACACAAACAAAAAATAAGTGTCCACTGTGTGCACATGAACACAACTCTGGACATTTGTTAACACACACACACACACACACACACACACACACACACACACACACACACAAACTTATGCCTGATTGCTAATTGATCTGGTTCTTGTCCAGCCCCTCAAAATAAAAAGCTGACAGTCTAAGTCAATACAGCCCTCTCAAACTCTCTCAGTGAGAAAGCTGGTTATTAGTGAGCGTGCATGCTTGTGTTTGTGTGTGTGTGTTTGAATTTCATCAGTGATTGTTGGTCCATTTGTATGCGTGTGTGTTTTTAAGTCTTAAAATTGGCACAAACACTGCTTTCTGTCTGTCTCAGTGGGAAAGGTGACCTGGAGAGCTCTTTGTGTTTTTCTTTCACATGATGCAACAATTGCTATCTGCAGACGTTAAGTGTCCCACAGAGACGCTGACTTGATTCAACAAAACTCTGAGCAGAAGGGGAACGGCGATAAACACAAAGAGGTGGGGGAAAAGGTGGGAAATTGCTATAAAACAATGTCAACTGGTGAACAATGTCAAGAGTTATGATTGCTTGACAGGTCTAAACTCCTTACCCTCAATTACATGAATGTGTCCATCCATTTGTTTGTGTGTGAGGGAGAGAGAGAGGATGCCAGCTCATTACATAGGAGCCAAGTTAACCATGCCAAAGAGTTACGATTGTGTTAAGCGCTGCCTACAACTCAATTACTGTCAAGCTCTTTGGCTAAAGACGCGTGAATTCTTCCTGCTGAGCCGATCAATAAAACGCTTCCCAAGTCAAGCTAAACTGTCACTAATACGCAGTATATCAGCAAACCACCTCTCATGCTAACTGTCCCAAGATAAATTACTGCGCTGTTTACAGCAGGGTTCATTTCAGTTCTGAAAGTAGAAGAAGTGAATAGTATAATATCCTACTACTAAAAACAAGTATCGTTAGCAAACAAATTGTAGATGTCATTTACATTTGTATGTGATTTAAGTGAAATGTCAACATTTTCCAGGCTTCTTCTCTCGATTTGTATTTGCTGTTGAGAAATGAATAAACAAGTGAAGACAATAAAAACAAACTCATCATGTCGCTTTTGTTAAATACATGATTTATGTGCACTGTTTGAGTTAAAAACTAGGCTTTGTCATTCTGAGTGACAGTACAGTAGCTGCCAAAGGCATCAGAGTATTCTACATATCAAAGCAACCTTCACTCAAAGAGCTTCTCCTCACTTGAGGTCATCAGTGAGTGCTGGCTTCTCGGCTGAACACAAACGTGTCACAATGATTTTAGTATCAACAAAAACAGAGGCGTCTTCTAGAGAGTGGTGGGATTACAATGTGTAAATCATTCTTCACAGTGCGAGTGTGTGTATACTTGGTCATTGGAAATGTGTGTTTGATATGAACAAGACAGCAAACAAAATATCTGCTAGTTGAGTATTTCTGTGCTCATAACCAAGAGAAAAGTAGCCATAATAGAAGTCACACTATTGATCCACCCTTTGACCTCTATGATTACTTTCTTTGTCTTCCTCTTTGTCGTCTCAAGCCACGGGGAAAAGACCCAGCAGCCGACTATGTCAGAGACAGTGCAGTGTATAGATTTGATCTGCTGCATAACATCCAATAAAAAGTGTCCTGCACTGGCTGCTCCAAGCAGGACGGAAGACTCCTATCATCTTTATATTGCTATAATTAAAGACAAATAATACTTGATGGGGCGAATGTGGCACAGTTTGACTTTTTAAAATATGAATATTAGAATCACTCATGGCAGATGTTGGCTTTAGTGTGTTAACCAGGCAAAGAGGCTCCGTTCCTCAGAGATTATCAAAGAATTTCAGTTGATTAAACAGGCTTTTAATCATGAACAGCTCTCAATCCACTCTGAGATAAAGGAGGAAGGAGTAAGACTGCAGACCCTTTGAGGAATAGTTTAACATTTTGGGAAATAGATCAGAAGATAAATATCCCTCTCGCATCTGTCCATTATATATAAGGCCATAACCAGTAGCTGGATAGCTTATCATACAGGAAACAGCCAGACAGTCCAAAGGTACAGTAACAAACTCCACCTACTAGCACCTCTAGAGCTCCCTGATTAACTAGCTTATCAAGCTAGCTGTTTTCCAATGTTAGCAAAGCTAAGCTAATAGGCAACTGGCTGTAGCTCATCAAACTCTCTGCGAGAAAGTGAAAAAGCATATTTCCCTAAAAGATCAAACTAATGTATCTGGTCAAAATGTGTTTACCAAAGTATTCTGCACATTACCTCATTGTTTGGCTATGGAACCATTAGGGATTAATTAAACGTGCATATTTATCCTTATCTTAAACCTCCATGCATATGTAATACTAGTATCTCTGTGGAAATCGAAGTTGGAAGTTGCAAGCTATTATTATTATTATTCTGAGTGATAAAGAATACATGGAATTTAAATGTGATTTAAAAAAATACATCTGAATGCTTGTGTATATTATAATTCATGTTGATTGGAGCCGAGGCTTTTCTCTATAACTGAAGACATCAGAACTGACTTCAGATAAATCAGTCAAACGTTGAAATACTTTACTTACTTTGGTCACAGTATGCAACATCTTAAAAGAATACGGTGACATTTTGAATTTCAGTCAGCCGTCACATTGGTGGAGACTGTGCGGGCGGTTGTGCCAACCAGTTTCAATGATGAATGACGACGTCGCTAACAAGACGATTCAGTGGACGCTAACAAAGACAAATGCATAAAGTTTTTCCACAGTGTGTCAAGTGTTTGGTGAAGAAAAATGAAAATGAAATTCAGAATGACCTTTGAGAGCTAATAGTGAATAAATTATATAATTGGTAAATGGAAGGCAGTTCGCCATTACATTTTGATTGAATTAAAAGTGAATTCATCTCAATCGTGTCCAGTCCTTCTAATCCTGGACGTGACAGTAATGCCCAATCTGTGTCCATCTCTCTGTATATATCATCCCTCTCTTTCTAGTCCAGTCCATGTTTTCTTCTGTGGTTCTTCAGTCAACACTTCAGTCCATGCAGCCGGTAAAGGGAGGGTTTATCCCAAAAAACAGTCCACTTCACTCAAAGCAAAAACCTACCTGGGTTAGTTTCTCCAGTGTTTCATTGACTTGGAGATTGAGGTCAATTTCCAGATAGAGGCTACATTCAACTCAGCTTGGGTACCTGACTGATGGAGTTTGACGTGGCGTACTGCTGCATGCGGGCTGCAGAGAGGTGGAGAAACAAGGTGGATTTATGCTTTCAAAAAAGACTAAATGTCCCTTTAGAGAGGTCAGGCCACCAGACCCAGACGATAGATCTTAGCAGAGAGGAAGGAGTGGAGGATGAAGACGATCGGCTTCGGACACGAGTGGAGGTCCAGTTGCTGGAGGAAAAAGGGAAAAAAAACAAAATTTAAGAAGTAGAAAAAAACAGAGTAATGCAAATATTACCAAACGGGACAGAATATATTTAAAAGATGTGAAAATTAATTGGAGCAGAAGGGATGACAGAGAGGGGAGGGAAAGAAAAGAAAAATAGTTTGTAAAGCTCATAGAAGTATATTCAGAACTAACTACACAGGAAACAGTTCCCCATGAGGCATGGATTAGACAGACCTAGCTCGAGCTAAGCACACACACAAACACCATCACTGTGAACAAAGCTCTGTTCATAGCCTGAATCAACAGTGGTACTATGACTCACATCCTGTTCCTCAGGTCTAAAGGGAGATTTAACCTATAACTTCACACTTGGACGACTGTTTAGGTGGTCATATTTACCACTTAGCACATTTTAGCGGCTATCTCATCCAGTATATCCAGTAAAAAAATATGAGTAGACCTACATCACTATTGGTCCACAAACATATGGTGTATCCAGAAAGTCATATTTTCAGCATAGTTTTTTAGCAAGGCTTTAGTATTGGCAATGTCAGTCGGTCTGTCAGTTAGCCCAACACAGACTGAAATATTTCCACTATTTGGTTGTTTACTGTGGACTTTGGTGCAGATATCCACGCCGGCCAAGGCGTGACTTTGGAGATTTTCCACGAACGCCACCAGCAGGTTGATATTTGTGGTTCAGCTAAAAGTTATCGAGGGAAATGTCTCAACAACTTGCAGGATTGCCATGAATTGTTATGCTGGTGATCTCTCCAATTTTAAACCCCTGCTATCATCAAGCCAAAGCTTTAATTTGTCCAACATTTTGGTTTACGACCAAATACCTGCTAAAATATTTAATTCTCGCCAGCCTCAGTTGTACTTTGTGTTTAGTGCTAATTAGTAAATATTGGCACGCTAACGCGCTAAACTAAGATGGTGAAAATGGTTATCATTGTACCCGCTGAACATCAGTATGTTAGCTTTGTCATTGTGAGCTTGTTAGCATGCTGAATCAAACATTTAGTTAGCATTTAGCATTAGCCTTGCAAGTCAACCACAGCAGAGGTGTGTATATACTTTTTGGTTTCTAAACCCAACATATACTTCATGCTTGGTCAGGGCCCTTGACATCATCTTCTAACGCACGGTCGCAGTTAACAGGTGGTTAACAATGTGAAAAAACACTTTCTTAGGTTTAGGCAACAAAACCATTTAGTAAGGTTTAGGAAAAAATATTATAGTTGGGTTAAAAATAAGTATGTAAACTAAGTAAAACATAAACAACATAAGTACGGAAAGGAAGTAACTTTAAAATAACTCAACCACACTTTGGGACGTGAACACCAGTCTGCTGGTTGCAAGTCCTGTGTCACCCACCCCTCCTCCCTCCCATCCTGTGTGGGTTTTCTGGGTCTTTATACTACGTCATCACACGCAAGGAGCATTTTCTCTAAGCGTCTAATAATGACGTGGATGGGTTTACATAGTAGTTACTTGAAAGCCTGGCGCATCTCCTACAGACACTGAAGGGTGCCTTGTGCGTCGGTGACAAAGCGTAGGTATTTGAAGCCCTGGGGATGAGAACAGACTGCCAAACCTCATCAATGGTTTTAACTTTATCCTTGCTCTATAATACATTTTCTGTATGGGGGGAGAGGGACTGTCAATTGCTGTGAAAAAATTAGATATACATAGTCCCTGCCAAATGTGACAGTGTAGTCAACACTACTTTCAAATGTTGAGCTAATGAGCCATCAGCCACATCCGCAAGTGCCTTGGGATTTTTATAAAGCCTTGTGTATGACTGTGTTGGGATTCAGAAATGCTACAGACACCAAAATCTGTTCTGCTATGGTAGCCAACAGAGGGTTTTGAATCAAAGCTCCAAAGTCTTTGCTTATTTGCCTTCAGCAGTATCTGAGCCGTGAAACACGAGTGTATCTGACAGAAGTTTTATACGGAGCTGTATGTGGACTGTTGTTCTAGACATTGATACAAAACGTCTCAGTTTCCAATTTGAAATCCCAAAAGCCTAGAGAGTAAATATTTTAGTTTTCAACGTCACTAACGTACAGTAAATCTCAGTGCTATGGCTTTATGAATGATGAAACATCAATGTTGTGATTCGCGGTAAAAACTGTTTGTAGAAGTGCAAGGGGGGG